TTTTTTTTTTTTTTCCTATTTCGAAAAATTTACAGGGTACAAGTATTTTTTGTTACATGGATGAATTGTTTCATGCTGGTTAGGGCTTTCAGTGTACCCTTCACCAGAATAGTGTACATTGTACCTGATAGGTGGATTTTTATCCCTCTCTCCTTCTTAGTTTTCAGTGACCATTACACCACTTTATGGCCATATATGTTCCTCATTTAGCTCCCACTTACAAGTGAGAACATGTGGTTATTTGTTTTTTCCTTACTGAGATACTTAATTTAGGGGGTAGTGGGCTCTGGTTTGTTTTATCTAAGCTGCTGCAAAAGACATTGTTTTGTTTCTTTTTATGGCCAAGTAGTACACCATGGTATATATGCACCGCATTTTCTTTATCCACTCATCGGTTGTTGGGCACTTTAGTTGGTTCCATATCTTTGCAGTGTGAATTGTGCTGCCATAACAGTTGGGTGCAGGTGTATTTTTTATAAAACGACTTCTTTTCCTTTAGGTATATACCCAATATGGGATTGCTGGATTGAATGGTAGGTCTACTTCTAGTTCTTTGAGGACTTTCCATACTGCTTTTTGGAGGGGTTGTGCTAGTTTACATTCCCATGAAAAGTGTATAAGCATTCCCTTTTCACCGCATCTAAGCCAACATCTTGCCTTTATTTTTAAAGGATATTTTCTCCAGGTATAAAATTCTTAGCACTTTATGATGTCTTCTGGCTTCTATAGGTTCTCTTTAAAAGTTTTACTATTGTCCTTTCAAGGCAATGTCTTTTTTACTCTGGCTTTTAAAAAAAACATGCTTTATTAATAAACATTTTTAAAAATAATTTGACTGTATTGGGCTGAGATGATGTTTTCCTTGACACTTAATTGCTTGGGTCTCACTGGACTTTGAATATGTGAATTGATATCTTTCCTGAGTTTTGGGAAATTTTTGGCCATCATTTTATAAAGTATTGTTCTTATTATCTTTTCAAATATTGTCTTTGGGGAGTATCAAGATTGTACATGTTCAAAATTTGGTCTGCATCCAGCATGTCTTTCTGGCTCTGTTTTATTTTTGGTTTTATTTTCATAATTATTCTCTCTCTCTGTAGTTTGAAACTTCCTATTGACCAATTTTTGAATTTACTAGTTCTTTTTGCTGTTGTCTTCTTCAATCTTTTATTAAAACCTTCAACAAGTTCTTAATTTCAGATATGTTTTTCAGTTCTGGATAGTGCTTTAATTCTTATTTTTTGTAGATGCCAGTTCTTTGTTGAAATTCTATATATTCTTAATAATTTTGTCCATCTTTGCTTATATTTTTAATACACTAATCATAAGATACTTGCCTTTTAATTCTAGAAGTGTTGGTCTGCTTTTAATGTCTTTTTCCCCCTCTTGATCCTCAGTCCCATATTCCTGCCTTTTCATAATATCTAGTAATTATTTAATTATATGCTGGACATTTTGTGTAAAAGAACTGAGTGGTTCAAATGATATTTTCTGCTAGTGATGGTTTCCTCTTTTTCTTAATTAAACATAAAGGAAAGGTTCCAGAGCTGATCGCTTTAACTCCAGCGAGGACTTCAGCTTGTTTGACCAGAGGTGCAATTTTGGTATGACCAATTTACTTCTGGCGGAACCCTGTTTCTTTGTTGTGGCCCTCCCATGATTTTGACTGAGTCCTTTGCAAATCTGTGTTTCCTCAGACTTAAATAATGAAACAACTTCAAAATATGACATATCTTAGGAAGTCGGTTGCTGGCTGTGTTTGAGGCAAGCCTCCTCTCTCTAGTGGGACTTTGCTTTCTAAGCACTATTAGACTGCAGGAGATTTTATTCTGTCTTAGCAAAACTTCTTAGCCTCTAGCTTTTTTCACAGTCCCAGAACTCAGCAAATGTCTGATGGGGCTATTTTAGTCCAGCACATTAGACTGTGATTCCCTATCATGCTGTGGGTTTCTCTTTCCCCTTCATATCAGGAGACAGAAAATGACTGCCCAAGGGCCAAATCCAGCATCCTGCTTGTTTTGTTTGATTGATTGAGACAGGATCTTGCTTGGTTTACTGGGCTTGAGTGCAGTGGTGTCATCATAGCTCACTGCAACCTTAAACTCCTGGGCTCAAGTGATCCTCCTGCTTTAGCCTCTCTAGTAGCTTGGACTATAGGTGTGCACCACCATGCCCTGCTAACTTTTTAATTTTTTGTAGCTCCAGGGTTTCACTGTGTTTCCCAGACTGGTCTAGAATTCCTAGGCTCAAGTGATCCTCCTGCCTTAGTGTTTGATATTTGAACTGATAGTGCAGAAGCAGTGGTGGGTAAAATAGCTGGTACCTTGGCAAAAATCAAAGCAGTGGCACCAAACTCTACTAGTAGTAATTGTATTCAATGCCATATACTCCCAGTAAAAATAATTCCATCTTTACTTAAAGATGCCTATAATGAAACAAAGTTAATTTAGGTAGGTCTTTACTACAAAGTACATGTCTTTTTTAATAATCTTTGTAGCAAGGTGGGGTGGCTCATGCCTGTAATCCCAGCAGTTTGGGAGGCTTAGGAGGGAGGATTGCTTAGGCCAGGAGTTCAAGACCAACCTGGCAACATAGTGAGACTCTGTCTCCACAAAAAATTTTGAAAATTAACTGGGTGTAGTGGTGTGTGTGTGTATAGATAGTCCTACTCGGGAGGCTGAGGTAGGAGGATCGCTAAGCCCATGAGTTTGAGGATGTGGTAAGCTATGCTCGAGCCACTGTACTCCAGCCTGGGTGAGAAAATGAGACCCTGTCTCTTAAAAAAAAACAAAAAATAAAAATCATTGTGAAAAAAGGCCCATTTTTTTTTTTAATATGCACTTGACTTTTGAACATCATGGTCCATATGTATGTGGATTTTTTTCAATAAATAAGGTTGGGCCTCCTTATCTGCGGGTTCCATATCCACAACCAGATGTGGATCAATGTTTATCAAATTTCTATCCAGTGATATAAGTGTCAGTTTTTCCTCTTTTAGGTAGTTATGCAATTAGGACATACTTGATAACTGTTTTATCCCTTTAAAGTGAAGTTAGAAGCAAGTGAGAATTCTTTTGCTTTCACTAGTTACTTTTCGTGAATTTTTTTTCCCTTCCACGTTATTTCAACACAAAAATGGTAGATCTATATTATTGATATTATTTAGTTTAAACTTTTTAAAATGGTGTATCTCTAAATTTGACTTTTTTGCAGTATATTTTTGGAGGATTTTGGAGGAACTTTTAATTATGGTGCAGGTTAGGTAAGCAGCCATAGTTATGGAATGCATTAGCCACAGTCTTAAATATTAGAGAAATCTTCCATGGGCTACCATGTGCCCTGTTGAGAGTTTTCTGCCCCCAGGAATATCACTGAAGCTTAACTGAAATAAAAAACTTTGGGTTTTGTGTATATTCCACATTCATTGACAGTTTCCAAACATATATCCCATCTCTGTGCATTTCAATACTTAGCGATATGAGAATGGAAAAATCCAATACACAAAGAGTCCCTAACTTCACAATGTGTAAGAAGAAAAAGGGATTGGAAGTAACATCAAGTGTAAGTTTGGTAAGCATTAATTGAGTTAATCATGGTTTGCAATAGGAAGGTGTTCATGAAAAATGAAACACATTTGTAGACTTTATTTTTGAGTGTCTTATTCTGCTTAACAATAACTTATTTTTCTGCAGTTGTTGAGTCTTAGTGTATTTCATTTGTTTGGGTAACGGAGTTGAGTCTTAAAAGTAGAAATGCTCCAATAGCTAACATTTGCACATGAAATGAGAGCAGATGTAAGGGCCTAATAGTTTTGCTGTTGTTATGGAATGCTTAATTATTTCAACCTATTTTGTTAGGCGCATTGTTCTGTTTGTTTTTATTTCTTTGCCCTTTGCTGTTAACAGAATTCCATTTACTCTGGTGCAGGTATTTAGAGGTATATAACATTTTCTTTGAAGTCTGGGCCTCATAGTTTAACAAATTTTTGTTATTACAGAAAGCTTTTGTTCACTTTGTGTATTTCCTTAAAAACATATGTTAAAGCTGTCAGTTCGTGTTGTGGATATGACTTTTTGGTTTTGCTTTTAAAAACCAATTTCTCTCAAGTAAAAAGAAGTAACTGTGAGATCAAATTAATGGAGAGCAGATCCAACTAATTTAATTCTGCCCTGAATATGTCAGTGGCATGTCTTGACCCTAGTATAGACCTGACCTTTAACTGGGATCCAAGAAAGATCATCAGCCAGTTACCATTTAGAGTCACTCCTTATACCTAGTAATAATTTTCTTAAATGTTTAAAAATAATGATTTCTTTCTTCTCTGAAGGTTCTAAAGCCCAGCAGCTATTGCAAGGACTACAAGCCAGTGATGAAAGCCAGCAGCTTCAGGCAGTTATAGAAATGTGTCAGTTATTGGTCATGGGAAATGAGGAGACACTGGGAGGGTTTCCTGTCAAGAGTGTTGTTCCAGCTTTGGTAAGCATAGAGTTGTCCCCTCTTCTTGTCTCAGTTGTCCTGTTAATGCTGCTTATTTTTTACTGAATGCATGATTATTGTAATTGTGAATTTTAAAACATGATAGAACTAACAGGAGGTTATGGCTTGGTGCTTTTTGTTTCATACTTAGAGATGTTGTGAAGTGACTGCTAACGATAGTAAATTTTCTAAGCTGTTTTTTTGATGCATGATCATCTGATTTTTGAGACTCAAGTGACTGGTTTTAAGTTGTTTGCCTCAGCAGTAATACCTTGACTCTTACCATGTAAAGCGTGCATGTTTCCCTTTCAACTTGCTAATCATGGAGCAATAGTAAGAAGCAGCTTACTTTGGGTTGTCTTTGTGGGCCAGAAAGGTTTTATGTTTGGTAAGTGTGTGCGTGGGAAAACCACTCAAGCCAGTATATCATGTGGCTCCTTCTAGTTTAAAAGGTTTTATGTTAAGCAAGGGAAAAAAAAAAGCCATTTAAATGGCTTTTCAACACAGTTGTGAGTTGATATTTTGATATTAGAGATTTATAAACAGCTTAATTTAATGCTAAGCTTTTTAATGCGGCAACAGGAAGAAAAATTGCCGTTACCATATGTATATAGGTACCTTAGAATAAACTGGCTTTTATGTAGTGGCTTGGTAATTTTCTTAGTGCAAAAGTAAAGAAATTGACTATAAGATTGAAATTTAAGTCCAAATCAAATACTGGCAAAAGATTAACATAAACATCACTATTACATTTATAGCATATTTTCTCCCAGAAATTATTAATTAAATTCTGTGTCTTTTTCAATATCCAGTAAAGGTGTCAAAAAATGAAGTTAAGGTTGGTATACCAGATTGTCTCATTTGATCACATTATCGAGTTATAGAGAGAGCTGAGCAAAGAAAGGCCTGTGGAATGCAAGGTGACAAAATCTTCATTCTGCCTATTCCTACTTGTTGGATGGTTCAGCTCTGGCAGGTTTGATAAAAGATAGATCCAGTTCTTCACCTTTTGCCAGTCAGACCTCCAGATAATAAAACTCGGTTGGTTCTCAAATCTTATTGGTTCCATTCTGGTAAAAGATTCGTATGTCACTGTCTGAATGTTTTATGACAACAATTTGGCCTTTATACTTTCAGATTTTGCTTATGTTAATATCAGTTCACAGATTGCTGATTTATTTGTTCAATAGCTGGCTTCTGTCACCTCAGTTAAACTTTTTTTTGTTCATTAAAAAATAAATAACAAAGAACTGGGCTTATCTTATTCTATTTACAGTTAAAATTTAGTTTTTGTTAGTTAAATAAAGAAGCCATTAAGTCTAGGCAGAAATGGTGACACATAATCTAGCTTGCTTAACCTGATGGTTAATTGATTAGATTTAAGCACATAATTGACTTGTGTTAAGTGTTGGCTCTTGCCAACTGTGGCTGTTGTAAATGAGTGGTCCAGATTTATCTTTTATCACAAGATATTGTTAATATATGTTCATCACAATACATTTGTGTGATCATAAATAGTCATATTTGATGAAAGTGAATCTATTTACAACAGTCCTTACCAAACATGGTTTTATGAGGTTAGTTCTATCTTAAGAATTGGGGATCTTCTAAGGTGACACTCCTTTCAAATTCAGCTAAGTGTTTTAAGTGGCTAATTATATGTGATTTGAGGCAGAGTTTTGTTTGATCTTAAGATCTAGCGTTTATGTTTGTGGTTTTTTTTTTGGTTTTTTTTTTTTAACAAAAAATAGTTCTCAAGACTTCCAGTATGTGGATATACTTTCCCCAGCATATTTCAGAACTGAGAAGACACTCAAATGAGTATTGTATTAGAATATCTGATGGCTTTTATCATAGTTATACATTTAATTGAAGGGTACTTTACAGTTTAAATTTGGTACATTTAAAAATTTCCATTGAACTCGAAGACAGTGAATGACTGTCTTCCCCTTCAAGAAGGAAATTTCTTTGACTCAGCTGCTTCAGGAGGATAGAGTATAAAAACATGGCAGTTTTGCATTACCTCGTTAGAGAAACTGGCTGGAATCTGTTTAAGGTTTTTCCACAGGAAAAACTAAAATAAAAATCACAAATTTAGACATGCAAATGTGGACTAATTGTATTAATTTGGCTTTTAATTAGTGCATAATTAGTTTCTGATGTGATCAAGGTTGTGTTTAAAATCCTTTTACTATATAGTTTACAGTTGAGTTCAGTGGTGCTTATCTTTTTTAGAGAAGCTTGTTCACCACAGTTGAAGCCATGGTCCTGAATCTTTGATAACAATTGTTATCAAATGTCAATGCATTACTGGTTCTGTTCATTTATGTATCCAGTATTTTTTGACACTAATAAGTCCTCAGTGATATGTTAGTGGACTCCTGAAGAGGGTTTTAAATCTACCAAAGGGGTTGGTTGGAAGTCACAGGAAGGGTTTGGTTTTGACTTGAATTGTGAGGTGATGGCTATCTAGTGGCCTGTGAGGAATACCATACTAAGTCTAATAATTTCTTGTGTATGCATGCTAGGTTTTATCTTTTGTGATAAAAGTCTTGAATGATACTTTCCATTTCATTTGAAGTGGAAAAAGAAGAAATACTAGGATTTTTGTCTAAGAATATAGCTTCTCTAATATACTGTGTTATCTTTTTAACAGATAACTTTACTGCAGATGGAGCATAATTTTGATATTGTAAGTATAAACTGTATTTTTTGTAACACTCTACATTTACATTTTGAGTTTTTATTGAGTAAAATCCATTCTTTTCCAGATGAACCATGCTTGTCGAGCCTTAACATACATGATGGAAGCACTTCCTCGATCATCTGCTGTTGTGGTAGATGCTATTCCTGTCTTTTTAGAAAAGGTAATCCTACTTTTGCCCAACTTACTTTACCCAGCTTGTTCAAAAGTAGGCATGGGGAATCAAGTTTAGAACTGTTGAATTTCAGCTTCCATTATCTAACTAAAGTATATTTTTTAGCCAAAATTTCAGGAAAATAGTTCATGTTCAGCAGACCAGTAGTTTGAACTTGAAGCCAATAAATCATTTATAGAATCAGCCCAGCTTTATACTTAATGTCTTTCAGATAAGAACTTAATGCACTTGATTAAAAGTCATCTTATTTCTAGAAAACATCACAGTGAGGTTGGATAGCTATTTATATGCTCATTATATAGCTGAGAAGGCTGGGACAGAGTGCCCTGCTCAAGGTCATAAAGTTGAGTCACTGGAGAAAGGAAACTTTTTCATATGGTCTATAGTAGGTTGTGTTTTTGGTCTGTCTTATGGACCCTTTTACTTTTTAAATGTGCAATAAAATTTACTTTATCTGATAAACTTGGAATATGGCATAAAATTTAAAACCTGATTTTTAAAATTTGTTATGTAAAACAACACATTTATTTTAAATATGAAGATTTAAAGTTATGTAATTGGGTTTGGTTTTTTTCTATGTAAAACATATTTTTCAGCATCTTAGAATACAATAGTTATTGGCTTTACCTTATAGTTTAACCTCCTAAGTGACTCATTTCCTATGGTGGGTTTCATGTTAGAAGCAGTATAGATTGATGGAAATTAGACATATAAAATATCTTCTGCATGTTTATTTATTTAGAAGATAAGTTAGTAGAAAATAGCTTAAATGAGAACCTTAACTTAACCTATTGATATGTTTTCAGCTGCAAGTTATTCAGTGTATTGATGTGGCAGAACAGGCCTTGACTGCCTTGGAGATGTTGTCACGGAGACACAGCAAAGCCATTCTGCAGGCGGTAAGTGTTGTTACCAAAGGGCGTATGTTTCATGTTTCATTTAATGTTGGATTTTAAATCCACCTTTGTTACTAGCTCCTTAATTGCAGTCTCTGAAAGATACACATGTCCTTTGCAAGGTGATTTGCTAGACATTTTTGGAGTTAATTTTTTTTTATTATTGAGAAAGGATTTTTCTTCACCTTAACAGTTTTCTATATTTTAGGGTGGTTTGGCAGACTGCTTGCTGTACCTAGAATTCTTCAGCATAAATGCCCAAAGAAATGCACTAGCAATTGCAGCCAATTGCTGCCAAAGTATCACACCAGATGAATTTCATTTTGTGGCAGATTCCCTCCCATTGCTTACCCAAAGGCTAACCCATCAGGTAAAATATGAACCTATTTTATGTGTCATAAAACATTTTTATTACTCTTTAAAAAATGATAATTTCAATTAGTGTTTTAAATCTTCCAGATGAATATATGTAATTGAAAGTGTTCTGATTCATGTTTTTTCCCATGTTACATAGTCATGGACCACATAGGTTTTAAAAATTTTGGTGAGTTTACCCAGATAAACAGTAATTCATATGTTTGCTATTTTCAGCTATTTAGACTTTAAGGGATGACTGTTATCTATGTGATATGATCAGAATTTCCTTTTGGAAAGATAACCCTTTCTTGAAGGGCATTGGAGTCGGCAGATGGGAACCAGGACGGTAAGGGTTAAGATCAGAAGAAAGACTAGACTGCGTCCCAAATAGACATGAAAAGTGTAATCAGGGGCTGTCTGGGGTTGGAGAAGGGCAAGAGCAATTATCTAGGAGGTGGAATCAATGGACCTGGCAATGCAGGATAAAAATCAGGGGTTACGGGGCTGGGCCAGAGGACAGATCGTGAGTTAAAGCTTCAAGGTTACGGAGAAATTAGTATAAATTAATATTGTAAAGGGTTGTTGCCAAAGAGATTTTTAAAAATCTGGCTTTAAAATTGCCATTACAAAGTGTGTTTAAAACTTTGGGGAAATTGGATATGTGAAATATTTTTAAGTAAATAGGGGATTTACGTAAGATAAAATAGTAATGATTATTCGGTCACCCTGGAGGAATTTGGTTCTATAATGAGCAAGACAAAGGAGTGCCATTCATTTCTTTAAATTTACTTTTAAAAATATAGTGGACTGAGATAATCTTTCTGTAGGCTCAAAATAAATATGTGCTCTAGTTCATTGTGATAATCAGTAACATATGATGTTCTTTTTAAAGAAATAAGACATGAGAATTAGAAGTTAAATAGTTGGCCACTATTTGTAGCACTGTTTCTAGATTTATGTAGTGGAAACAAAGGTGCCAGGCTTTTATAATACTTAAATTATTCTCCTTTCTACAGAAGCAAATCTAGTTTTTACATATGAATTCCACTTATAAATTAGGAAAAAACAAGGTCTATCAAAACACTTGTCTAGCCAGTAAAATATTCTTTCCCTTACTATGAAGATTACTTCAAATGTTTTCTCAATGAGGCCACTCTATTGTTTTTATAGTGAATATAGCAAATCATTTTTATAGTGAATCTCTCTAGGTTATTTTTATAGTGAAGACACAAATCTGTGCCCTACTTGTAATATTATATCAATAAACTTCTGGTTCACATACCTATACTTTACTATTTCTAACTTTTTAGTATATACATGTTTAAACATTTTAACACTTTTAAAGGAAAGTAGGATATTTATCTTTTCTTTAGTATAACATTTGTTTAGGCATTGAGATTACATAAGCACAATAGTTGTTCTTCCTTTTCTGTATATTTGCATTTATCTATTGGGGCCTTTATGAAGGAGAGAGGTTGTTCAATTGGTATGATTCTCTTTGCTCTGTAATTGTGGTATTACTGTAGGCCCATTGGCATTTTCTTTTTTTTTTTTTTTTTTTTTGAGACAGGGTCTCAATGTGTTGTCCGGGCTAGAGTGCTGTGGCGTCATCTTAGCTCACAGCAACCTCAAACTCCCAGGCTCAAGTGATCCTCCTGCCTCAGCCTCCCGAGTAGCTGGGACTACAGGCATGCGCCACCATGCCCGGCTAGATTTTTCTATATATTTTTAGT